AAACAAATTTTTGAAAAATTGACATTTTAACTATACATTATTCATAATATTTATACTTGAACAACTCAGCCACCCCTTTGACTCCCAACTGTTAAAAAATCCCAAACCATTCCCATTTTAAAATCCTTGGAATACTCAAAACGTTTACCAGGACATAGTCAGAATAAGCTATTTGCAAGTAAAATTTGAATAAAGTCTGGTGCACTGAGTTATCTGACTGCACATTAACATAACAATTTGAATTCCCTAGACTAAAGACACTGTTGCTATAGCTCGTGATTCGGGGCAAGCTTTTGCATAGCGACCACCATCTCTGGAATAGACTGGTTCCTTTGTGCCGTTCTTATCTGTTGAGAACAGTGTATTGTTGCAAGGCGTCTCTTAAGTAACTTAGCAAAAGCTTGCCCGGAATCAAGAGGTATAGCAACAGTGGTTTTAGTAAGGAGAATTCAAATTGTTATGTTCATGTGAATGTGAAGAACTCAGTGTACCAGATTTGGGTCAAAGTTAACTCGCACAAGGCATATTGTAACGTTAGTCCATGATTCATTCAGTGGGACTGATCTGCAATTACTGAATGGACATAGTGGCTTTGTTAACTGATCCAGGCTGAACGTCGAGGCCATGAAGGAGGCAACAAAAATTTTCCTGGGCACGCACGATTTTTCGGCATTCCAGAGCATGTCCAAAGACAGCAGCTTGAAATCGCCCGTCAAAACAATGGACAGCATCGAAATAGCGCCCTCGCAGGGCTTCCTTAGCCACCACTGGAGCCGCGACAACACGCCTGACATCCAGTTCTTGGAGGTGTCGTTTCGGAGTCGTTCCTTCCTATACAGACAGGTCTTGTGCATGAAATTGCCATATTCTTCATCAATAGTCGAGTATGAATGAGGCAGACTTTTTGATCCCTTGCTCTTGATATGAACATCGGGGTTTGGATCAGGGTACATGTACGTGCAATCACTCGACCATTAACCCCTTCATACCGGAGTATACCTAGCAAGAAATGAGACCGAGGGGTACCCCCCCAACNATACAAATTTTTGAAAAATTGACCTTTTTAATTATACATTATTAATACTATTTGTACCTCAACAACTCAGCCACCCCTTTGACTCCCAACTGTTAAAAAATCCCAAACCATTCCCATTTTAAAATCCTCAAATTTCTCTTGGAATACTCAAAACGTTTACCAGGACATAGTCAGAATAAGCTATTTGCGAGTAAAATTTGAATAAAATCTGGTACACTGAGTTATCTGATTGCATATAAACATAACAAATTGAATTTCCCAGACTAAAGATTCTGTTGCTCTACCTCGTGATTCGGGGCAAGCTTTCACATAGCGACCACCATCTCTGGAATGGACTGGTTCCTTCGTGAATAGTGTATTGTTGCAAGGCGTCTCTTAAGTAACTAAGCAAAAGCTTGCCCCGAATCACGAGGTGTAGCAACAGTGGTTTTAGTAAGGAGAATTCAAATTGTTATGTTCATGTGAATGTAAAGAACTCAGTGTACCAGATTTGGGTCAAAGTTAACTCGCGAAAGGCATATTGTAACGTTAGTCCACGATTCAGTAGGACTAATCTGCAATTACTGAATGGACATAGTGGCTTTGTTAACTGATCTAGGCTGAACGTCGAGGCCATGAAGGAGGCAACAAAAATCTTCCTGGGCACGCACGATTTTTCGGCATTCCAGAGCATGTCTAAAGACAGCAGCTTGAAATCGCCCGTCAAAACAATGGACAGCATCGAAATCATGCCCTCGCAGGGCTTCCTTAACCACCACTGGAGCCACGACAACACGCCTGACATCCAGTTCTTGGAGGTGTCGTTTCGGAGTCGTTCCTTCCTATACAGACAGGTCTTGTGCATGAAATTGCCGTATTCTTCATCAATAGTCGAGAATGAATAAGGCAGACTTTTTGATGCCTTGATCTTAATATGAACATCGGGGTTTGGATCAGGGTACATGTATGGAAATAAGTGATGTCCGAATTCACCAGAATGCCAAACTGGGGGATGTTGTCAGTTTGCAGCTCGGTAACTCAAATGCAGAGGAAAATCTTTTGAGATTATATAAAGTCCATGAACTGCATTTTGTTGGATCTGGACACCGTATGGTTTTCGTTTCGTCAGCAGATCCGTAGAATGGTCTCTGCCCTGGTTTCGGTGGGCAAGGGGAGCCGGTCACTGGATGAAGTGAAGGAGGTGTTAGAATCCCGCAATAACGCCCACCCAAGGATGAGTCACACCGCCCCACCGGAGGGACTCTATCTGAAGGAGGTCTTGTATGACGAGCAGGGTGAGCAGAACACAAGCTGGCAGGGGATGGGGTTGAAGGATAGATGGGGGATTTATCTTTCCTGCAGTGGGTAACCCTTTCAAATTAGCCAAAGCGCTCAATGCAAAATGAAGGAATAATGAAAA